GGGTCAGAGCCCCTAAGCCCCCCACCCCCCGTTGTTCACGGGTCAAACGTAATTCATTCATTCATGCAAAAAAACATTTATTGAGCATTGTATTAGTTAAGGTAAGGGCTCAGGCGCTGTAAGAAAAAGGACCCCTAGTGCAGTGACTTACAAAACAGAGGAATTCATCTGTCTCTCACGTAACAGTTCTAAGGTCAGTGGTCCAGATTTGCAGGGCAGCTCAGTTCTATGTGGTTCTTCAGGAACCTGAGATCCTTTGCTGTTGGGCCCTTCCACCCACTAGGGTGCTGCTCTCATCTGTAAGGTCAGCGCCTGGTCAGGGGCACATTTGTGTCCTAGCTTGGGGGAAGGTGAAAGGGGAATTTCAGGGCCAGCAGTTTTTCAAGCGAGTGAGGCAAAGTTCCACACACATCTTCCACTTTCATTCCATCGGGGATGACTTAATTGCACGGCCATATCTAGCTGCAAGGGAGGCTGGAAATGGCAATTCGACTTGGGTGCCTATGTGTCCAAGGAGGAAAGGAAGAACGGACTTCGAAGAGCAACCAATAGTGTCCCATAAGCATATCCTGTATGCCAGAGACTTCCAGATCCCACAGTCACAGCAATGATCAAGAAGACATGGCACTGATCTCAGAGAACTTAGATTCCAAGGGGAAAGAGAACGATGAATCGACTACTAAAACAGTTTTGAAGTAGGATGGTACCCAGCTCTGATACCAGGGTCTGCATTCTTAAGCATTTTCCTCTACGAGCCCCGGACTTTCTGTCTTTTCAAACACTTTTGCTTAACATTTGCCAAAGATTTCCCAAGCTCAGGATAAAATCCAGGTTTTGTTATAGCAGCACCCTGGGAGAGCTGGCCCTGCCTGCCTAGTTTAGTTTCCCCGGGCAGATTGCCCTCACACCCTTGGCTTCAGTCGTGATGAACTACTTGTAGTTTCCCGAAAGCAGACAATCCTTTCATCCTTCTATGCCTTTGCCCAGGCTCTTCCGTCTGTCTATAACGCCCTCCCATGAACAGTGCCTGGTACCTCTCCCTATCCCCTCACCCCTTACCAGCCCAGATGGCCTTGAAGTCCAAGCAATTAGACTTGCTGCTTTCACTCTCTTCCCATCATATCCCGTGCATGTCTCAGTGAGGCACGGGACTTTGTGTGAGGTGATGGAAAACACCCAGCCTTGGCAATCAGACAGATGAGTCCAAATTCTAGCTTCACCACCCACCGTAACCTCATGAAGGTACCAGATTTCTCTGCCTGGAGATAACTCTGTGAAGGGGGATGGGCTTGGTTCAAACTGGGTTTCTTTATGCAGTGCCAGGAACCGAGCAGATGCTCAGGAAAGGGCTGTTTCTATATGGCCTTCATATGTCTGGCTCCCTTACGATAGGGTGAGCTTGTTGAAGCAAGGACTCCACTTCAGGGTCCCGGGGTCTGGAGCAAAGGAGGTACTGGATTCCCGTCTGTGAGATGAATAGATGGCTTAATAATGTTAATTCATACTAAGATGTGGATTAATTACTTTATTCTGTCTCTTTCAGGGGCATTTATATTTTTCAAAGGACCACAGGAGGCTAGAAATGTTTCATCCAAAGAAATGACTTTCCAGTGGAATTTTAGACAAGCAATTTTGTAGCAAAAGAACCTGGGTTCTTGCAAATTCCAGCAATTCACCAGTTATCCTTCCCAGCTACTGCTGAGTTCCATCTTAAGCAGGGGACTGACATCCACCTCTGGCAAACCATTCTGTCCTCTTCCCCACCAGGGAAGCACCTAACTGCTTCGTGCCCTGCTCCCAGTCAGAGCGTGAAAAGACATCAGGATAATTAATTTACATGGAACTTTCCAATACTGGGGCCTGGGGAAAGGACACCTTGGGGGAGGGGTTAGAAGACCTAGGTGCCCTGTCCCTCGCCAGCTGTGTGACTTTCCCAAAGCCCCTCTAGTCTCTGAGCTTCAGTTCACCCATCTGCAAACTAAAGTGGCCCATTAGGACAGGTGGTGTTTAAGGTCCGATGGGACATCCTGGGTCCCGCGATGAGGCTGTGTCGATACAAGGAAGCGTCCTCCACTTGGCTCATTCCTCAAAAGGCCACAATTGGCACATTCAGGAACCAAGTGGCTTCAGACAGAAGCCATGTGTGCTCAGCAACACCAAGGATGCTGCAGAGACGGCATTTCCCCACGGCCCAGAACCACAGAGTGCCAGCTCGCCATGCCCCGCTCCACGGCCCGCCTCTCCTCCACCCTCCCCGATGACTGCAGCCAAGGCCGAGATCTCTGGTTACAACTCTTGCTTTTCTTTCCTGTCCAGCCCCAGGCCTGCCTCCTGAGCCCATCCCCTGCCAGTGGACTCTGTCCTCCTCTCCTATAATGCTTCATTCAGGCACACGTCAGCCTCGCTAATTATTATTCAGCCCGAACACCTCCGACACATTGGCATTTTCATTGATTCAAATTAAGAGTCAGACTAATAATTAAGGCAAACTGTCCCTCCCCCATCCTCACCCCCTGACTGATGGATTCTTAGTGTCAAAACATTAACCTTTAGGTTTGGGACCTTGACGCCTTCAAACCCCATAAGCACCTGACAAGCAAGCAAACTATAGAACCTTTCCCTAAATCAGCTCTTTCTATCTCGACGGTCTTTATTTGTCTATGCAAATAGATATTTATCTTGGGAAAGAAAAAAACCTTATATTCTAAAGGACACATATACAGAGAACCAACCCACCTATCACTGCAAAGGTGGAATTTGAAAGCCATTTAGCAGCTCCTCTGCCCCTCCTGAATAGGATTGAAGGCGCTCCACTGAATACCTGAAAGAAACCCTACGGGCAGTATGGAGACCCCATTAGGAACTCTGTCAGACCCAGGGTGCGGGACCAGATTCTTCTGAGCATGAATGAGGTGTGTCAGTTGTCTGTTGCTGGGTAACCAACCACCCTCATCATTAGTGGCTTAAAACAGTAGCAGCTCACTCCATTGCTCACGATTCTGCAATGTGAACAGAGCTGGGTGGGGAAGACTCATCTCCACTTCATGTGGTATCAACTGGGGGGGCTCCACTAGGGAAGATCCATGTTCGAGATGGCCCGCTCATGTGGCTGGCGAGTTGGTGCTCGCTGCCAGCTGGGAGCTCAGCCGGGGCTGTGGTCCAGAGCCTCCGTGCTCCTCCGCACGGCCTCTCTAGATGGTTTGGGCTTCTCCAAACATGGCAGCTAGGTTCTGAGACGGAATGGAGAAGCAGGGAAGGCAAGCCCCAGTGTGCGAGCAATTATTAAGCTTTCGCTTGCCTCATGCTTGCAGCCGTCCCGTTAGCCAAAGCCAGTCATATAGCCAATCCCCAAGTCAGTGTGGGAGGGGACTCCACAAAGAAGGCAAGACATTGGGGGAGGAGAAGACAAACGTACAGTCTACCACAGATGGTAACTGAGGAGGAAACCCTAAAATTAACTTTGCAAAAACACAACACTACATACCTTATAATTCAAAAAAATTTTTAAGCAACTGCTAACCAATCATCTCTTTCAAATTGGAAAAAAGGCAGATCGGTTGAGTTCCTCCTGGTTTTCTCATTTATAACACGAAGGAGTCTGATGGCACTGGGATCTCCAAGGTCCATGTGGTTTCAACGTGCCGTGACTCCTTAACCAAGTGACTCTGTCCTGTCTCTCAAATTCCCCATCAGCTCCTACGTGGGAGCACGGTTCTCATGCTGCAGTGTCAAGATATGGAAGAGATAAAACCTGCTAGATGTTTGAGTTAAAAACAGAAGCCTCTAAATGTATGGAATGAGAGCTGGCAGGGAGCTAAGCCATCACCTGGCCACCCCCTCATCCGAGAGGGGGCAAGAAGCCGAGGCCCCCTCTCTCTGTCTCCACTGTCTCTCTGCTGGGTCTCTGTCTTTGCTCACTCCGTGTTTCTCTATGTGCTTCCTCTGCATCTCTCTTCACCTGGTGTTTGGTCTCTTTCTCTGTGTCCTCCATCTCCGTCTCTCTCTTTGATCCTTTCTGATTCGTGCAATCTCATTCCTCTCTCTATGTGACTCTGTCTCTCCCCACGTGTCTCATTGTGTGTGTGTGTGTGTGTGTGTGTGTCTGTCTGTCTGTCTTTCTCGCATCTTCTTTCTATCTTCTCAGGGTTTCACACGCCTGAGTCACTCTCTGGCAAGATGTCTTCTCACATCCCGGCGTCTACACTTGGCTGCCCTGCACGGTTGGACTTGAATCCCTGCCCCGCCAGCTGCCAACAGGTGGCTCTGGGCCTCTGTCTGGCGGCTCCTCTGTGGGCAGGCTTGCTGTTCACAGCTGGTTTGCCATCCAGACCCTTCCAAGACTGGCATCAAGAGTGAAGCTGGAGGGCTGATGTCTCTCGGGGCAACTCAGTGCTGGAAGCCAAGTGCAAATGCGAGGGCAGAGAACACACATATGCAAAGCACACACTCAGACACACCCTCACACGTACAAAGTTTGGTGGATGCAATGACCAGCCGCCCAGCTCCCCCATCATGGAAGGACTTGTTGCCCAGCTACTGGGAGTGTCAACAGCGAAGTGGACACCCTCCAGCTGTGGACACCCTCCGTCCCTTCAGAGATGGCCTCAGTGGCAGAGAGCACCTCGCCCGAGGGCACACCCCTTGCTGGGCGGCCCGTATCTGGTGGTGGATTGATACAGAATTTTTGGCCTTCTCAACCCGTCTCTGAAGGACCATTGTAGCTCCCCAGCGCCCAGTGGACTTGACCAAGGCTGTCATCAGGTCCGCTTCACAGCAGCTTGTCAGCTCCATGTGCCCACTCTTGCTTCCTTCTCTTCCCATCCTTTCCCCAGATGTTGATCCCAAGGTCTCTCCTTAATTAACATGCTGCCTGCTAAACTCAGTCTCCAAGTTTGCTTCCCAGGAAACCCAGCTGGTGACACTCATAGTCTCTCTCTCTCTCTCTCTCTCTCTCCCCACCCTCCCCTAATTTTCTTCTCTCCCTGATGCCTACAACATACCTTTCTCCTTGGAGCTCTCCTTTGTCATTTGCTGAAGCCCTGTTCCCCAGGCAACTCATCTCGCCTGTGTTTCTGGTCCCACAGTCCCGGCAGCGTGCTTTAGCCCTTGCGGTTGTCTCTCAGATGGCGTGAGAATCTTCAGTGGTTCCCTGCTTTGCATTTTCCTCATCAGTACCGTAGAAAGAACACCAGCTCAGGAGGGGAGAGGCCCAGCTTCAAGACTGACTGCATCACTAACCACCTGTGGCACCTCGTGCAAATCATTCCCAAACCCTGTGCCTCAGTTTCCTTGTCTGTAGAAGGAGGTTCCCCTGAAGTCTCCCACACAGGGTGAGAGATGGCCCTTGTGTTTGTGCTGTGCTGTGTTACATAATCCTTAGTTCTATTAAGTGTATCAAGTGGGTCCTTGAGTTCATGTGACAATTTTTCCCTTTATTCTCTTTCTTAGTCTTTCACCTATTGGTTCTCTGATTGTTTACAGGCAATGGAACCCTCACCATAATGCCTGATTTGATTCCCGCAGCCATCCTGTGAATTCCCGCAGCCATCCTCTTCTACAGATGGGAGCATGGAAGTTCAAGGGGTGGAGAATCTATTTAAGGTCGCGTGGCAAGTGAATGTTGGTGTAAGATCTAAACCTGGGTTTGATCGTGTCCAAAGCCCATGCCTCGCAAGAGGGAGATAAGTCCCCCCAGTGTCATGAACAACACCATGGGCTAGGATAGGACCAATCTGTGGATGTGAATCCCAGAAATCCTAGGGGAGAGATGATGACCTTGCTACTTTCTTGGAAACTTGGTTCTAGTCTATTTACTACCCAAGAGCCAGGGGTAAGCGAAAAAGGATCTCGGCTCAGGAACCCTGAGATCTAACCAAAGTTCTGCCTTTAACCAGTTGCAGATCTCTTAAATGCAGTGGGTTTCCATGCTGTCATGGGGTAAAGAGCTGTATGCTCTCTGAGAACCCACCGTTCCAGTTCTCAAATGCAGGTCTCTCACTGCAATGCCTGCTCTCTACTCTCTGGCTTTCCAAATCCCACTCATCCCTCAGCGTGTAGCCCCAATCTTATCATCCCAGAGTTGTTCCCATTGACTTCATTCTGCTCTGACCTCCTCCATTTCTGGCTACCTGGGAGCCCTAACTCTTCCCACATTCATTTAGATGCTTATTCCTGTGCCACGGGCAGAGTACGAGGAGCTCACCTGTGGACTCTGACCTACATTTAAATCTAGACTCTGGAATGTATCTGCTGTGTGACTTTGGGTGAGTCATCTAACCTCTCTGAACTTCAGTTTCCTCTTTGTAAAGTGATGACACTGCCTATTTCACGGGGTGATTGTGAGAAAATGAGATAATGCTGTTATGTATGGAAAACTTCAAGGTATTGTATGTATCGACACCTCTGCCACTTACCAGCTGTGTGTCCTTGGGCAAGTTATTCAACCTCTCTGTGCCTCCATTTCTTATGTGAAAATGGGGGTAATAATAGTACCTATCTTAGGGGACAGCAGTGAGTATTGAATGAATTACTAAAATTAAAGCACTGGAAACAGTGTCAGCCACTTAGCAGGTGATAGTTTATGAGGTCCTTACAAAACACATGGAAGGCCAGTGGAGAGCGGGAGTCCTCTTTGAGAGCTGGGGAAGCTGAGGCCCCGGGAAGCTTGTACACACTGACTCACTGGCTATCGGCTGCTTCCTTCGACTCTACCCTCACCTCCTTCACAGCCCTTGGTCTCGCCCTGGTCTGTGCCAGCAGAGGCTGGCTTCAGGGAGCTCACGTGTTACAGGCTCCGGCAGAGCTGGAAACACCAACGTGTGTGTGTGTGTGTATCTTCTGCACCCCACTGGTTTCGAATGGGAGGCGCTCAAGGAGAAAAAGGCGATGCTTCAGCACGAGTGCACACAGACAGCCCAGGCAACCACGCAACCAGGAATTCTGGGCCCATCGGGTGGTCTAGTAGCAGGAGCTTTGGGAGGGTACACTCTGCCCTCCCCTCCCTTTGTCGCATTTTGCAGGTGCCCAGTTCACGCGCTCTCCCTGCACACAGATGGTGCCTCTCCCACCATACAGACAACGCAAACCCGGCTCTCTCCCGTCCGTGACAGCTTCTAGAGCCCCAGGGACACACAGGTGTGTTAATCCTGATCCCATTTGGTAGCATCTCTCTGTCCTTGGCTCCTTGTCCCTTAAAACCTGTGATAAGGGATAAGGGGACTGCAGTCGGAGAGAGTGGGAGAGAGAGAGAGAGAGAGAGAGACAGGAAGAAACGTCCCATAAAAGAATAAGGAAAAAGGACATCGAAGTGTGGATCAAAAGGGAGGATCAAACTCCCCTGATCTAAAGTCAAGGTCGGGAAAGAGAGGAGACAATTGTAATTTCTGCTTTTTGGTAGAAAGAAGACCCGACATCGATAGCGGGTTCCTACAGCCCCGAGTAAATCTGGCAGAGAGAGTGAGAGACTGGGGGCTTGTGTGTGGCTGTAATGAGGACATTCATGTCGCTAGTGCCGAGGGAAGAAGGAAGGACGAAGTGGAACTCTCCGAGTGCGTTCTATTGATAGATCTAAATCGAACACAGGAAATGGCCCTCGCCACGGGGATACAGTAACTCGGAAGGCAGCCATGGGACTCAGAGTGTGTGCAGGAGAGCATGCTGTTAACTCAGGACCGCAGGACATCGCACTGGGTTTTCTGCCAGAAAGCGGAGGCTATCATTGTGTACCTGTCTTTTTTTTGGCCATGCTGCACGGCATGCAGGATCTTAGTTCCGGGACCAGACCATGGATCGAACCCAGGTCCCCTGCACTGGAAATGCAGAGTCCTAACCACTGGACTGCCAGGCAATTCCCCCTCCCTCTCTTTTTTAACACTGCATTTAGACCCCGGAAAAGCTTTATCCTCCCTCTTGGTGTACGCGTTCACTTGTCATTAATGCAACAGCTACTGAGGCCGCTGTGAGAGGCAGGCACCAGGGAAGCACAGATAAATAAGACACCAGCCACGGGCTCCAGGAGTCCCCGGTCAGGAGGGGAAAACAGAGACATCTTCAGATAAACTGCCTACATGGCAGAGAGAGATGCAGAATGACGTGGATGTGCTCGTGTGCCATTCAACCTCAGGGACTCAATGCCCAAGAGCCAGAAACTCGGTGACAGTACTCGGCGTCACCTGTGTGGTTAGAGGGAATGCAAAGACTTTGACATACTCGCACACACCAACAGCCCTCTGTGAAAGATGAGGTTCCCTTCGAGAGGCCTGGAGATGGGACGGACTTGTTCAAGGAAGCGGGTTGAGGCTTGTGTGCATTTATCCAGGGCTGCACATCGGTCTGGAATGGGCTGGTGGCCACCAGAGCTTTGGAGCTGGCCGTGCTGCCTGGGAGAGTGAGGCCGGGCCAGAGGTCGTATGGAGTCAGAGGTTGTCCACCTGGGCAGGGGAAGTGGTGTCTTCTGGTGGGGTGATCTGAGGGCTACAGGACAGTCCCTAGATAGCTCCTCCCCTACACGCACCTCTGTGTTGTAATATCCAAAACGTCAATGAGAGAGAAATACTTCCCCTGAGCTTTTAACAAAGAATATCTTTCTTCTGCAGAGGACTTCCTGTCTTGAGCCCCAAGAGCATTTACTCTGGCTGCCTCTGACATCAGCTCCCTCGATGCCCAGGGCCTCTTAGGGCACTCAGTTTGTAGTGAAGGGGACTCCTGGGGGTAGGATGCGGTGAGGATAACCACGGAGGCGTTAGCAGCTTCTTAGACCTCCTTTTTGAAGCCTCAAGGGGATCGGAAGAGAACAGAGCGGCAGCTAAAGTGGCAGGTTCTAGAAGTGCAGAGGAGGAGCCGCCCCATCGCCTTGAGCAACGCTGCCTCTGGGCTGTTGTGATTTAAGAGAGGGGCTTACGAATGCTCATCAGGTGGACTGCTGTGGGCTCAGGATGTGCTATTTTTTTAGAGACAAGTTAGTTATGGTGTCAAAATGTTGAAAGGAAGTGGGGCATCAGCTCATGGTGGTTTCTTCCAGTGGAAACCCTTTTATTTTTATGTGTCAGTGTGGGGGTGAGTATGTGTGACAGATGCTGATAGGTGTTTAGGCAAAGTCTGTCCCCTTTTTTGCCTTGCTAATAGAACCTTGGTTTGTTTGGTGGCAATGTGCTCAATCTCAGGGAATAAATCATGATTAGACCCAGATGACGAGAGCAATTCTGTTTTCTTTCACAATTGACTGGTACTTTATGACCAGGTATGGCCAATAAGAGGTAAAAGGATCTGTGATGGAGGAATACTGGGAAACACTATTCCCTAAATGAAACAGTTGGCCACAGGAGAGTAAGGGCTTTTACCTCTTCCTTGCTTCCTGAGTTGTATGCTGACACGTGAGGATGATGCATGAGGCTGCAGCAGCCATTCTGAGGCCATGAGGCAGCAAACCTGAGGATAAAAGTATTGGGCTGAGGACTGTGCCGTGGATGGGCTTTCGTGGTCTTGTTAAATTGCTGAACCAACCTTGCAACTGCCCACAGCCAGACTACTTGTTAAGTAAGCCATAGGTGTACTCATGGCAAAGGTCACTGTTAGGCAGATTTTTTTCTGTTGTACTGAAATATATCCTAATTGTTACTTCATACTGATGACGGAAATCGGGCACCAGAGTGATCAATAAGTTGAAAACGTGTACTGTGAATTCTGCCAGATGGTAAAGTACAAACTGTTCTCTGCTTAGGTGACGTGCTGAGCTTTACTGACACCAAATCTATTTGTAGATCAATTGATATCTATCGCCTTCCATTGTGACACAGCCCAGGACAGTAGAAAGTTCAATGGAATGGTGTCAAGAGAGCCAAGTTTGGGTCCCAGGTCTGTCATCTTGGGCCTCAGTTCCCTCGTTTCATGGAAGAAACAAAAGGGGTTGAATTGATTCAGGGTCTCCTGACATTCAACCTGGCAGTGATCCGGGACAAATTTTCCAGACTGCAAATTTACCACTGAAAACGTTTACTTCTTCAAATCTATAAAATTCATCTTTAATGTCTTTAATGTGAATTAATGTTTTATTTCAGTGAGAAAAGAAATGAATGGGAAAGAGTTTAAATAGAT